ACCGTTTTTCCGTGGTGTCTTCTGGAACGTTCCTGGACCCGGGGAATTGAGCTAATAAACTCCTGCCCTTTCTTCTAGCTCTTCCCCCTCCCAGAAAGACCCGGGCCGAGCTCATGAAGGCCATCGACTTCGAGTACTACGGCTACCTGGACGAGGACGACGGGGTCATTGTCCCTCTGGAGCAGGAATACGAGAAGAAACGTGAGTCCCTGGGCATCGCACGTCCTCCGGGCGGGGACCTCAAACTCCGGTCCGCGGGCGTCTCTGCCCGTCTTTTTTTTATTTTTTATTGAGACAGAGTCTGGCTCTGTCGCCCGGGCCGGAGTGAGCGCCGTGGCCTCAGCCTCGCTCACAGCAGCCTCCGAGTCCTGGCCTCCAGCAAGCCTCCCGCCTCAGCCTCCCTCCCGGGTAGCTGGGACGACAGGCATGCACCTCCACGCCCGGCTCGTATTTTTCTATATATTTTTAGTTGTCCGGCTCATTTCTTTCTAATTTTTTGTAGTAGAGACGGGGTCTCGCTCTTGCTCAGGCTGGTTTCGAACTCCTGACACCTCGAGCGAGCCTCCCGCCTCGGCCTCCCAGAGTGCTGGGTGGGATTATAGGCGTGAGCCGCCGCGCCCGGCCTACTTTCCTTCTTCATTTAAAGTAGAAAGATTCAAGCCAAATGAAACTACAAAAAAAAGAAAAAAAAAAAAATAAAGTAGAAAGAAAAGAAATAAAAGAAGAAATAATTAAAAGGATAAAAAAGAAAAAAAAAAAGATTACTTTCCTTCCCCATTTAAAATGGAAAGAAAAGAAATAAAAGAAGCAGAAAAAACAATTAAAGGAATAAAAAAATAAAGTAAAATAAAACAATATTTCTTTCTTTCCCATTTAAAATAAAAAGAAAAGAAATAAAAGAAGAAAAAATAGTTATAGGAATAAAAAAAAGTAAAAGATTTCGTTCTTCCCCATTTAAAATTAAAAGAAAAGAAATAGAAGAAAAAATAGTTACAGGAATAAAAAAATAAAAGATTTCGTTCTTCCCCATTTAAAATTAAAAGAAGTAGAAGAAAAAATAGTTACAGGAATAAAAAAATAAAAGAATAAAAAGACAAGATTTCGTTCTTCCCCATTCAAAATAAAAAGGAAAGAAATAAAAGAAGAAAAAATAATTAAAAGGATAAAAAAGAAAAAAAAACAAGATTACTTTCCCCATTTAAAATAGAAAGAAAAGAAATAGAAGAAGAAAAAAATAGAGGAATAAAAAATAAGATTTCTTTCTTCCCCATTTAAAATAAAAAGAAACATAATATGCCGGAATAAAAAAATAAAATAAAATAAAAAAGAAATGAAAGAAGGGTAAGTAGTCGAAGGAATGAAGGAGTGGAAGGACAAGGAGGCGCGCGCGGGGAGGCGCACACGGGGAGGCGCACGCGGGGAGGCGCGTGGCGGGGAGGCGCGCGGGGGTGGCGGCAGCAGGTGCGTGTGCTTGCAGTGCGGGTGCGGCTGGCGGACAGGTGGAGGTCGGAGCGGGAGGCCCGGCTGGCCCGAGGCGAGAAGGAGGAGGAGGAGGAGGAGGAAGAGGAGGCGAACATCTACGCGGTCACCGAGGAGGAGGTATGGGGGTGCGCGGCCCGTGGGGACCCCTCAATGCCGGGGAGGTGGAGGGCTCAGACTCGGGGGGCCCTGGGTGGGGGGACGGGTCCCCCACGGCGTTCCCGGGTCCCCCACGGCGTTCCCTGGTCCCCAACAATGTTCCCGGGCCCCCACGGCGTTCCCGGGTCCCCCACGGCGTTCCCGGGTCCCCCACAATGTTCCCGGGTCCCTGGTCCCCACAATGTTCCCGGGTCCCCACGGCGTTCCCTGGTCCCCACAATGTTCCCGGGTCCCCACGGTGTTCCCTGGTCCCCACAATGTTCCCGGGTCCCCACGGCGTTCCCTGGTCCCCACAATGTTCCCGGGTCCCCACGGCGTTCCCTGGTCCCCACAATGTTCCCGGGTCCCCACGGCATTCCCGGGTCCCCCACTGCGTTCCCTGGTCCCCCACAATGTTCCCTGGTCCCCACGGCGTTCCTGGGTCCCCCACGGCGTTCCCTGGTCCCCAACAATGTTCCCGGGTCCCCACGGTGTTCCTGGGTCCCCCACGGCGTTCCCTGGTCCCCCACAATGTTCCCTGGTCCCCACGGTGTTCCCGGGTCCCCAACAATGTTCCCGGGTCCCCACGGTGCTCTGCTCTCACTCCTGGCCGTCTCTGTCTGTCTTTTCTTTCTGTTGTTTTTTTTTGTAGTTTTTTTATTCTTTTATTTTTATTTTGCTTTTGTTTTGTTTTTTCCTCGTTATTCTTTGTGCTTTTTCCTTATGTCTTTCTCTTCTCTCCTTCTGCCTTTCTGTCTTTCTTCCCTGTTTCTTTTTTGTCTCTGCCTTTCTTTCCTTCTTCCTGTCTTTTTTCGTTTTAGTCCTTTCTTCCTTTCCTTCTTTCTGCGTTTATCTTTTTTTTCTTTCCTTCTTTCTTTTTCTTTTCTTTCTTTTTTCTTTCTATTCTTTTCTTCCTTTCCTTCTTCTGTCTTTCTGTCTTTATATTTTCTTTATTCTTCCTTTCTTCTTTCTGTCTTTATCTTTTCTTTCTTCTTTCTTCTTTCTGTCTTTATCTTTTCTTTTTCCTTTCTTCTGTCTTTTTTTTCTTTTTTTTCTCTTTTCCTTTCTTCCTTTCTTTCCTTCTTCTGTCTGTCTTTATATTTTCTTTTTTCTCTCTTTCTTTCCTTCTTCTTTCTGTCTTTATCTTTTCTTTTTTCTTTCTTTTCCTTTCTTCCTTTCTTTCCTTCTTTCTGTCTTTATCTTTTCTTTCTTCTTTCTGTCCTTTCCTCCTTTCTGTCTGTCTGTCTTTCTGTCTTTACTTTTCTTTTTCTTTCTTTCTTTCCTTCTTTCTTTTTTTTCTTTCTTTTCCTTTCTTTCTTTCCTTCTGTCTGTCTTTCTGTTTTTATCTTTTTTTTTCTTGTTTCTTTTCCTTTTTACCTTTCTTTCCTTTCTGTTTTTTTCCTTCTTTCTTTTCTTTCTTTCTGTCTGTCCTCTTTTTTCTTTCCTTTTTTCTCTTTTCTTTCTTTTTCTTTTCTCTTTTTCTCCTTCCTTTCTTTCCTTCTTTCTGTCTCTGTCTTTTTTTTCTCTTCTTTTCCTTTTTTTTCTTTCTTTCCTTCTTTCTTTTCTTTCTTTTCTTCTGTCTTTTCCTTTTTTTCTCTTTTTCTTTTCATTCTTTTTATTTTGTCTTTCCTTTCTTTTCTTGCTTTTTTCCTTTTTTTCCTTCTTTGTGTCTTCCTTTTTTCTTTTTCTTTCCTCCCTTCTTTCCTTCTTTCTTCCTTTTCTTTCCTTCTTTCTTTGTTTCTTTCCGTCTTTTCCTTTTTTTCTTTTTCTTTTCTTTCTTTTTTCCTTGCTTTGTTTCCTTCTTTTCTTTCTTTCTTTGTTTCTATCTGTCTTTCTTTCATTTTTGAGACAGAGTCTCGCTCTGTCTCCCGGGCTAGAGTGAGCGCCGTGGCGTCAGCCTCACTCACAGCAGCCTCCAACTCCTGGCCTCTAGCGATCCTCCCGCCTCGGCCTCCCTCCCGAGTAGCTGGTACCACAGTCATGCCCCACCACGCCCGGCTCATTTTTTTCCTATATATTTTTAGTCGTCCAGCTCATTTCTTTCTTTTTTTTTTCTTTTTTTTTTTTTTTA